GATTCTTGAAGAAGAAGATTCTTGAAGAAGAAGATTCTTAAAGAAGAAGATTCTTGAAGAAGAAGATTCTTGAGGAAGAAGATTCTTGAGAAAGAAGATTCTCGAGAAAGAAGATTCTTGAGGAAGATGGTTAATACTAGGAAGAATAACCACTCGGTCCAGCAGGAACAGGATCCCGGGCCGATTGCCATGGAAGATCAAACCGATCTCTCAGATGCTGTGAATATGTTACGAGAAGAAATAGCAGCTGTCAAACAAGCTCGCGAAAAAGATGCGCAAGAGCTAGAAGCACTCAGAAAAGAAAATGCTGAGTTGAGAAGTTTAAACAGAACTTGGAATCCTACGACTGAGCATCTCAACAATGAGGCATCCTCGCATCATGCACCGACAACCTCACGAACACATCCCCCTCCCATGCAGTTGTCAGCCATCCCCGGGCAACCTTCCCCTCGAGTAACAATAACACCTGGCTCATACAAGCATCCTTTCACTCAAAGCATTATGGAGGCAACCATATCTGATAGCTGGAGAAATCTTCCTCTCGAGAAGTACGACGGGTCCTCGGACCCCGATGACCATCTAAACGCATACCTCACCCAGGTTACTTTGTTGACAACAGAAGATGCTGCCTTGTGTCGCCTTTTCCCATTGCACTAAAAGGACGAGCATTGGGTTGGTTCATTAAGCTTCCACCTGGCTCAATAAATTCATTTGAAGAATTGGCATCTTTATTTGCGGTGCAATTCGCCACAAGCAGACCTTACCAACTGACAACACTGGCATTGGCTAATATCAGACAAGAAAAGAAAGAATCTTTAAGGTCGTTTATGGATCGTTTTAACAAAATTGCAATGGAGATAAAAAACCTGAACCCAGCTGTTGCAATGGATAGGTTGAATACAACATTGAAACCTGGACCTTTCGTAAACAGTCTATGCAAAAAACCCCCGTTGGATATGAATGACTTGAGGAGAAGAGCTGAAAAATATATGCAAATGGAGGAATTAACTGAGTCAAGAAACCAAGCTAGAGCTGAGACCATGCCTTACAGAAGAGAAAACGAAAAGGAAAGTTACCAAAAGAACAAAAGAGAAGACACTGGAAGAGGTTATCAAGTGAAAAGACCTCGCTACACCGAGTACACCCCATTGAATACAACCAGAACCAGGATATTAGAACAAGCCTTGGCATCAGAAATTTTGAGCATTCCCAAAAGAGCCCATACACCCCCAAGAGCCGACTTATCAAAATCATGTTCGTATCATCAAAACCATGGTCATTCAACAGAGGAATGTGCTGCTTTGAAGGATAAAGTGGAAGAGTTAATAAAACAGGGACAACTGAAAAAGTACGTCGAAAATCAAGGTACTAATCGAAGATACGATAATGAGAAAAATAGTTACGTACATAGAGGAAGAGAGACACAAAGAGGAGAACGAAGAACTAGTAGAGAAAGAAGTCGGTCAAGAGAAAGAAAGAGAGAAACAAATCCTAGAAACCAAGAAAAAAGAATCATCAACACCATTTCAGGAGGATTCGCAGGGGGAGGAGCAACCTCTTCTGCTCGAAAAAGATACTTGAGAGCAGTAAAAACAGTAAATTTTGTAGAAAAAAGGAAAAAGAAGATGCCCACTATAACCTTCACCGATAAAGATTTCGAAGGAGTAGACCCTGATCAAGACGATCCCATGGTTATCAGTGTGGAAATTAACAATTGCATCGTTAAAAAGACCTTGATAGATCAAGGAAGTTCAGCTGATATATTATATTGGAAAACATTTAAACAATTAGGAATTCCAGAGGAAGAACTGAAACATTATGACGAACCACTGGTCGGGTTCTCAGGAGAAAGAGTAACAACAAAAGGGTGCATTGAACTTTATACTCGCTTCGGTTACGATCAAGAGGTCTCAAAAATCATAAGGATAAGATATATTGTGGTAAATGCAAATACTTCATATAATATACTGTTAGGGAGACCATCAATCAACACATTAGGAGCCATCGTCTCAACACCACATCTAGCCATGAAGTTTCCGGGAGAATCACAAAAGATAATTACGATTCATGCTGATCAGAAGGTTGCGAGAGAATGTTATATGGAAAGTTTGAAAGTACGGCCGATGATAGAAAAAGAAGACAAAAATATACATATGGTATCACCAGAAGCTGGGGAAATGTTAGATACTACCGAATTGGACCCACGGTTAGGGAACGAAGACCTCAAAGTGGAACCAAATGAAGAAACTTTATCGTTCTGGTTGGGAGAGAAAGAAGGACAAAATACATACATCGGGTCGAAACTCGGGAAGGAAGAGAAAGAAATAATACAAGAAGCAGTGAGAAAGAATAAGGAATTATTTGCATGGGCAGCCGAAGATATGCCTGGCATTGATCCCACATTCCATTGTCATCGGTTAGCAATATGCAAGGAAGCAAAACCAGTAGCTCAACGCAAAAGGAAAATAGGAGAAGAAAGAAGAAGAGCAGTAGAAACAGAAGTACAGAAGTTGGCGAGTGCACGGTTCATACGAGAAGTGCAATACACAACCTGGTTAGCAAATGTAGTAATGGTGAAGAAAGCCAACGAAAAATGGAGAATGTGTGTGGATTACACTGATTTAAATAAAGCATGTCCTAAAGATGCCTATCCTCTCCCAAATATCGACCGACTTGTTGACGGCGCCGCAGGCCATCAAATTTTCAGTTTTTTAGACGCGTACTCAGGATATAACCAAATTAGAATGTACCCAGGAGATGAGTCTAAAAATGCATTCATAACAGAATCTGCAAACTACTGCTACAAAGTAATGCCCTTCGGATTAAAGAATGCGGGCGCAACTTACCAAAGAATGATGGATAAAATATTCCACAAACAAATTGGTAGAAATGTTGAAGTCTATGTAGATGACATGGTGGTGAAATCAAACAGTGCAAAGGAACACATCAAAGACTTAAAAGAAGTATTCAATGAAATTAGAAAATACAGGATGAGGCTCAATCCTGAGAAATGCGTTTTTGGTGTGCAAGGAGGAAAATTCCTGGGATTTATGTTGTCGGTTAGAGGAATACAAGCAAACCCGGATAAGTGCCAAATGATACCAGATATGAGAAACCCAAAAAGTATAAAGGAGGTACAACAGTTGATTGGGAGACTCACGTCGTTGTCTCGGTTTATTCCCAGGTTGTTGGAAAGAACCAAACCAATATTGAAATTGCTCAAGAAGATTAAAGAATTTCAGTGGACCGAAGAGTGTGAAGAAACATTTCAAGCCCTGAAAGAAACCTTAGCATCCCCTCCAATACTAACAAAGCCAGATACGAGCAAGGAACTCATTGTGTACTTGTCGGTCTCGGAGGAGGCTGTAAGCACAGTTCTAGTTCAAGAAGAAGAAGGTAAACAACAACCAATATACTTTGTAAGCCGAACCTTACCCGACGCAGAAACCCGTTATCAATTAATTGAAAAGGCAGCATTAAGCTTGGTTTATGCAGGAAGGAGATTACGTCAATATTTTCAGAGTCACAGTATTGTTGTTAGGACAGATTGCCCCATTGCAAAAATCTTAAAAAAACCGGAGTTAGCAGGAAGAATGATGGCATGGGCAATGGAATTATCAGAATTCAATATTCGCTATGAACAACGAGGTCCAATTAAGGCACAGGTATTAGCTGATTTTGTGAATGAATTGAATCCAAAAGAAACCATTGAAGAAGGATGGTGGAGCCTTCACACAGATGGATCTTCGAACAGTCAAGGAAGTGGGGCTGGTATCATATTAGAAGGTCCGAACAAATGCTCAATCGAACAATCTCTTCGGTTCAATTTCAAAGCATCTAATAATCAAGCGGAATATGAAGCTTTAATAGCCGGTCTTCGGTTAGCCAAAGAAATGAATGTGCAGAAAATAAAATGTCACACTGACTCAAAAATAGTCGTGGAACAAATAAAGGGAACATTCCAGATAAAAGAACCACATCTGTTAAACTACTTTCATCTTTTTCAGAGAATAAAAGATGACTTTGAAGAAGTACAAGTCCAGCATATACCACGAAATGATAACGAGCGAGCAGACAGATTAGCCAGATTAGCTAGTAGCCGAAAACCTGGGCATTTGAACACTTTGCTCCAACATGAATTACAAACTCCAAGTATAGAATCAAAAGAGTGTTGTCAGATAGAGACTGCAGAGAAAGGATGGATGGAGGATATTTTGAACTACATGAACAAAGGAGAACTACCACAAGACCCACTTCAAGCTAAAAAAGTAAAAACAAATGTGGCCCGTTATGTGCTCATTGCGGGAGAATTGTAAGACGAGGGTTCTCGATACCCTTGCTCAAATGTTTGACGACCGAACAATCCCATTATGTGTTGAGAGAGGTACACGAAGGAATATGCGGTTTTCACTCAGGAGCAAGAACGACTGCGGCAAAGATTCTAAGGGCAGGGTATTTTTGGCCGACACTGAAGAAAGATTGTGAAGACTTTGTCAAAAAATGCAAGCCTTGTCAACAACATGGTAATATCATCAGGAAACCCGCTGAGGAACTACACAGCATAAATTCTCCATGGCCATTTGCTACTTGGGGAATGGACATCCTCGGTCCGTTCCCGATGGCAAAGGGACAACTTAAATTCCTCATAGTAGCCGTTGATTTATTTACAAAATGGATAGAGGCAGAACCACTGGCAACCATATCAGCATCAAACATTCAGAAGTTCACATGGAAAAATATCATAACCCGTTTTGGAATACCTTATGCCATAATCACCGATAATGGGCTTCAATTTACAGACAAAAAATTCAACGAGTTCCTAGAGAACTTACGTGTCAAGCATAAAACTACCTCAGTGGAACACCCTCAGTCAAACGGACAGGCAGAATCAGCTAATAAAGTCATACTATCAGAACTAAAAAAGAGGCTAGGGTCGGCAAAAGGAGCATGGGTAGAGCAGCTACCTGAAATCTTATGGGCATACAGATGCACTCCACAGTCTTCAACGAAAGAAACACCTTTCAGGCTCACTTTCGGGAATGATGCAATGATTCCCGTAGAAATTGGAGAACCCTCGTGTAGACGAGTTTACTTTCAGGAAAAGGATAATTCAGAAGATTTGAAGGTAGAGCTTGACTTATTAGAAGAAGAGAGAGATAGAGCCCTCATCAATGCTGAAGCAACCAAAAGAAGGATGATGAGAAGATTTAATTCAGGAGTAAGGCCTAGAGAATTTCACAAAGGTGATTTAGTATGGAGAAGCACAGGCGAAGCAAGAAGGAATCCAAGAGAAGGAAAGCTCTCGGCCAACTGGGATGGACCATATAGAATTAATCAAGACCTACAAAATGGAGCATACAAGTTGGAAGAACTCGACGGAAAGTTGATTCCAAGAACATGGAATAAAACACACTTGAAAATGTATTACAGTTGAAAAACCTTGTATCTTGGTGTACTCTTTTCCTTGCTTAGCTTTTTATCCCTAAAAGAACGTGAAAGGGTTTTTGCTAAGCAAGGTTTTTAACGAGGCACCCCAATGAATAAAAAGACAAGGAGTTTTTTCAACAACAAAAGAGAAAATGAATCTAAACCTTGATCAAGGACACACTCGGTCAAGTAAATGAACTAAATTATATATAAATAAAAAAAAAGGATAAATGTCAAATCATATATAATCAAAAATTTTACAAAGGGCCACAAGTATGACTTTGATGGTTGCCGAACGAGTTTTAACTTTTAAGACTGGTTGAGTTATTGTTGTCAGGGAGAAATTATTAATGCAAGCTTAAGCAATACAACCTTTCTATCTTGTTTGTATCAGATTTTAGTTGTTCAATTCTGATTGTTTTTTCCTTGTCATTGTGAATTTTATTAAGAACTAATATAAATTATGAATGGATAAGATCAATTGTTGATGGGGTAGTGCATGCAATTAGGGAAAAATGAGTATTGCTACTTGTACTTATCCTGCCCGTATTCGGTAACCGAGCCCCAAGCTCGGCATCACAACGCAAGTGTACTGTCCGTACTGCGTAACCGAGCTCCAAGCTCGGCACTACAACGCATTAGATAACGGATCTTGTCTGGGGCGAGATCCTCGGAGATCAGTTATGATTCACCTACATACCGAGCTGATGTCACGCGGCACGCGTCCGAGGTCGGCTTGCGTTGTAGTGCCGAGCTTGGAGCTCGGTTACGCAGTACGGACAGTACACTTGCGTTGTGATGCCGAGCTTGGGGCTCGGTTACGTAATACGGTCAGTACAAGTAGCAATATACATTTTTCCCTAATTGCATGCACTACCCCATCAACAATTGATCTTATCCATTCATAATTTATATTAGTTCTTAATAAAATTCACAATGACAAGGAAAAAACAATCAGAATTGAACAACTAAAATCTGATACAAACAAGATAGAAAGGTTGTATTGCTTAAGCTTGCATTAATAATTTCTCCCTGACAACAATAACTCAACCAGTCTTAAAAGTTAAAACTCGTTCGGCAACCATCAAAGTCATACTTGTGGCCCTTTGTAAAATTTTTGATTATATATGATTTGACATTTATCCTTTTTTTTTATTTATATATAATTTAGTTCATTTAAAAGTAACATTAAAATTAAATATTTTGATCATTATAATTGTCTAGTATTTATTAATTTATAGATTTTTGATTTGGGATGCTTTTAAACTATAAATTAGATATTTAAAAACAAATTCACTTTTTTTTTTTTAAAGATAGGAAAGATTACAAAGATGGTCGGAAGATTGAACCTAAACCCTCATGCTTCTAACTACCCCTAACCTCTCCTTACCCAACTACTAGACTAATCCTAGTGGTCCAAATTTGTCTCTTTTAAGATAATTTATGTTATAGCTGATTTTTAAAATTAAATACCTCAAACTTAGAATTATATCAGTAATGTTTCCAAAATCTCAAGCGTAACTATCACAACCTCTAATTCAAGGTCATGGGAATAATCCACCCAAACCTGTCTTCAAAGCATCACTATATACCACATAAGACTTACTAGAGTCCAGTAATGTTAACACTAATCAATTTTTTTCTTAAGAGTTTGAAAAATACTCTCACACTATTCCAAAAAGGCAACTATCTATTTCTGGTCAATCTAGTCAAAGATAATGTTATCTTAGAAAATTTTCTCAATAAATCTCCTATAATAATAAGTTAATTCATGAAAACTCATCTCCACACTAATTGACTTTGGTATCTCCCACTTAAGCATCCCTTCTACCACAGATAGATCTACATTATATCTTCACTAGAAATTACACAACCTAGAAAAATTCACTTCATACAATAGAAATTCATACTTAAATAACTGGGTGTAAAGTTGTCTTGAATATATTTTCATCCTCAATTCCAATATGCTGATATCACATCCTAAGGTCAATCTCACTAAACACACAAATATTCATTAATGGATCCCTAAGGTCATCTATCCACATATCAACATACATGCATATCAGTTAGAATGCCTACTTTAAACCTTCATATATACCATCCTTAAGCATGTATGAATCAAATACCGTTTACTACGTATAACCTGTACATGAATAGCCTTTACCACATAACATCATACAACCTTAAAGAAACTTTTGATCCACAAGACAACACCTCAGAACATCAGAATAAAATCGATTTCCTAATAACTCACAAATATCATGATAACATATATATCCCTTTAACAACTATCAAAGAAAATGATACATAGAAAATTATACAGGCTATCACCATATGATCTCAAACCTATTACGAAAAGAAAGTTATCAAGATAAGCTATCACTCTTATGAAGACTTAAAATTCTAAAACCTAACTTTAGCATCGGAGTCTCTTTTGCAGGTACCACCCCCATCTTGGAGCACCAGCGTACCCGTGAGGGAGGCTCACCGATCTTACCTGGCAGATCAGCTCTACAGCAGATTTCCGGTAAGAACATTTGGCGCCCACCGTGGGGCCGATCGACACAGCCCTTATCGGCCATCCATATGGTATTCACCAGAAGCCACAACAGACGTGCAACAGACGACACTGAACACTCTATCAGAGGACTGACTTAAGCATTGGAGTACCTTTTGCAGGTACCCCTCTTCCCCTAGGATACTTCATGGAAGACAAAGACCCAGCAGGAGTAGCAAAATTACAGGAGTACCCTCGTACAGGTACACTTATATTGTAGGTATAGTGCATATCCACACAAAACTTAGAACTTTTTTTCCTTATTATGATTAAATTGTTCTCTTTATTTTTCAAGGTCTAGGTTAACAATTTGTTTTTTGATAAGCTGAAGTTCTGATGAAACAAAAAAAAAATCAGTTTGGCTCAAACGGGGTAATAATTGTTAAAAAAAAAAAATTCAAGTTAGCTTTTGACTACTCTAGTAATAAAAAGACTTTTAAAATTAGTTATTTTTTATTTTTAAAATAAGTTATTTGACTAATTTTAAAAGAGTTGATTTTGTAAGTCTTAAATTTTAAAATTGGTTATCAAATAACCCATTTTAAAAGTTCTAACTTACAACATCAATTATTAATAAATGACCAATTTTAAAAGTCCCATTTTTAAAATCAGTAAACATTGATCTCTATAAAATATATAAATTTTTTTTTCTTTAAATAAATAAATTTTAGCTTTTGATCTCTAAAAAATATATTTTATTTTATTTTCATCCCTTTAAAATCTAAAATACCATTTTTGGTTTCTAAAGATGATTTTAAGGTTTATAAATAATATATATTTTATTTTCCTATGAGAATTTTTAGAAGTGTCACACACTAACATAATATCATTAACAATTGTGAGTAACACCTAAGATGATCACTTAACTTTTCAATAAACAAATAAGTTGTTAAAAATGATTATACAATAATTGAGACAAAAAATAATTTTTTTTTGTAAAGATAAGAAAGATCACAAAGATAGAAATTAAAATCAAAACTTACTCATTTTACAAAAAATAAAACCATATTTAAGTATTAATATTATATATTTATTTATTTTGATTTAACAACCATTCTTAAATTTTTGTTACCATATGAAATCAATCTTCTTTTATCTGTATCCAAATATTATTTTTTTAATTGTTTATCTCTGTTTTTTTTTTATTTGTTTTGCTTTTAATTTTGAAATCAATTTTTAAATCTTATCGAAAGAAGATAAGAATAGTTTACGAACATAATCTTTTTGTCGACCATGTTTTGCTGTTTGCCAAAGCTAAACCTTCCTAAGCAAGAAATATTGTGAAGGTGCAGTATATTTCTATATGATTTTGAGGGTGAACCTCGATAAGTC